GCCGCGCGGCCCGAGGGGCGAGGCCGCGCCAGGACCCAGGGACCGCCGCGGCGGGTGAGGGCTCCGGGAGGCTGAGCGGAGGGGGCCCTCTCCGTCCCACGAGTCCTCCCCGGCCACCCGGCTAGTCGATCCAGACAGCACCGAAACCGGCGCCGCCGCGCCCGCCGCCTCACGCCCCCGGCGGCCCCTCTGCCCAGCAGCGGCCGGCCACGCGGCCCCGCGCGCGGGAGCCGGCTCCTCGCGGGCCTGGTCACCCGCCCCGCTCCCGTTAGGCACGCAGCCCATTGGGCAGGCCGGCCAGCTCTCTCCCCGCCGATTGGTGAACGCGGTGCCTGTCACTCGGCGGCGGGGCAGTCCCGCGCCGCGCTCAGCGCGCGCCGCCGACTCCTGCAGAGAGAACAGTTCCCTGAGGATCCCTGGAGTCGGCCTACCTGAGGCGGGCCTCGAATCCCGCCGTCCGCTAGAGAGCTCGGTGGCCGACGTCCGCGCTGAGCCCCCGGCCGCCAGTGAACCGGCCCGGCCGCATGCGCCCGGCAGTCTTTGACGGAGGCGGGCTCCAGGCTGTGCGCACGCAGGGGGGGCGGGGCAAGCGCGGGCCCTCCCCGGGGCGGGGCCTGGGTGCGCGGGTGCCCGCCCGCGTGCGAGTGCGCAGGCGCGGGGCGGACGCGCTCTCCCACTCGCCCCACCCTCGCTGGGGACCCTGCACGCTTGGCGGTTCGAGGCTGGGCAGGTGGGCGCGGCTTCCTCTACGGTGTTGTCCCAGCCCGTAGGCTAAGCTTTCTCACTGGAAGAAGAGGAAGCCCCCTTTGGACTCTGTCCTAGAAAACCTGTCGCCTGGCTCCAGCCCCCTTCCGCAACAGCCTTTGGAGAGACCAGACCCTTCATTCCATGTCTCTAAACCGTTAGACCTCGGGAGCAACTCATTGGACTCGAAGTGGTGCGACCTCAGCTGGTCTCTTACACGCCTCCCGAGGGACGCAGGCGGTGTCATCTGACCTCTAAAAGGGAAGGCCAAGAGGGTGGCTGGGCGCTGGCTCCTCGCTCATCTGCCTTTGCCCCGTCTATCCTGCAGGAGGCTGCTTTAGCTGGACATGGGCCCAGAGACCTGCAGTTTCATCCAGCTAACTTAGTGAGTGCCCGCCCCCGCCGTGTGCCACACTGTGCTGGACTCTGTCGGACTCTATCCGGGGTCCGGGAAGCAGTGAGGCCAACTGGCCAGCTCTTTACATTTCATTATGCTTTGCTAGGGGAATGAGTGTCCCTCCTGGGTACTGACCAGGGCGCCGTACGTCTACTGGCTGCCAGGGCCTCCCCGCAGTGGGGGCTGAGAATTCAGGCAGGGCAGTCGTGCCTGAAAAGGGGACTTTAAAACTAAGACCTGGGCCCTCCCTGGTGGCGCAGCAGGTTAAAACACAGCACCAAGAAGCTTTCAGCATTAGTTCAATCCCTGCCCCGGAGGTGACCACATGGCGTGGCAGACCTCTCCTGACCCGCCCGCTGCTCCCCTCAGCAGTGTGCTTCCTTGATCTGCCCGTGCTGCTCCCCACTCTGGCTCTGGTGAATCCTCTCACCGCCCCTGCACCTCTGGCCTGTACTCCAGCTCTGTACGCATAAATAAATAAATAAACCTTAAGGGAAAAAAAAAAAAACTAAGACCTAAAGTGAACTGGCATTCATTTTGGAAGAAGGGGACAAGGACGAGACAGATGCAGAAGGGAAAGCCTGCGTGAAGACCTCAAAGGGCCAGCACTACTGACTGAGCTGGAAGAACATGTGACTGCTGGCAGAGCCAAAGACAGACTGCCGTGGCATCAGGCTGGTGAGGTCATACAGGCAGAGCATTAGAGGATTTCCTTTCTCCTCGGGACAGAAGCTTTTTTGAAGGGGGTTTGTTTTTCTTTTGTAGAGTGAATACAGCAGTTAACCTTGAATGAGGTAGTTTTGTTCAATCTTCACGTCCTCATAATACTAATAGAGAAAATCTGACTGAAAGACGTTATTTGAGGCCCTCGTTTCTTATTAGTCATGCTTAAATTGCTTAGAGATGCAGTTTCTGAGAACCTATGAAAGACTTCAGGCTGAGGACTTACTGGTTCACTTTTTTTCCAACCACTGCACAAGATCTGAAAAGTCAGTCTCTCACCTCCTTACCCCAGTGTTGCTGTTAGTTCCCTAGGAGCAATTTGTCATATCTTCATTGAAGGTGGGATGCGATTAGGTGTGTATTTAAGGAGTCACTCAGACAGCTAGAATTCAAAACAATGTTAGCAGGCTGCTGTGGCAGCTCAATAAAATGGCTCTGTCTCCTGGCAAACCTAGATCAGCCCTGCTGCCCTGCCAGTCCCCCTGGGCCACACCAGCTCCAACTCTCAAACATGCTTGGCATGCGTTTGCAGAGTCTTAAGAAGCAGTTGGCATTTACTAAGTGGGGCATAACAGACACCGAGAAAGTGCTTGCTGACATCGTGTGCTGTGGGAGATACCAAAAGGAGCCCCTTCCAGAACATTTTTCTGCATGACCACATGACACTTCCCTGTCTCAAGCCCTTGCATCTCCTCCCCTAAGTGCACTCTCAGCTTATGGTCCTGCTTTCTAGTTCAGTGAGAAAACAGACGCCCTCAGGAGAATTTGGACGAGCCCCCTCCTCCATAGCCACCAGCTACATTTATCTGTGCACACAGTCTCTGCCTTCTGTCCTGTACTGTGGACGCACTGTCCATGTTCCAGAGGTCACCCCTCCTCCCTTCAAGTGCCATCTCCTCTCATTATGGCATTTTTCCCCAGAGAAATCAGGCGGCTCTCAGAGAGGTGGAGAGAGACTTATTTGTCTCGCCGGCAAGCCCAGTGGGATAGTTCCCAAAAGTAGAAAGAGCAGGGTTTTATACAGTTTGTATGCGGAAGCTTGCCACCCCCTGGACTTTCCTTATTGTTTGGGGAGAGGGTCAAGGTAGCACAGACACTACTGGGGGCAGCAACAGACAGCAGCAACTCTGCTTGAGCACTCAGCAGAATCTCAGCGGCAGACTTACTAACTTCATCACCTACTGAAGGTTCTCCCCTTCAGCGTCGTCAGTTTCTCCCACTCCACAAGATCACCCCCCACCCCATGCTATAATTTCTCCCACCTTAAAATCCCTCTCTTGTCTCTGCATAATTCTCTGGCTCCCCTCCATTTCTCTGTGCCCCCTTTCAAGACCACTAGAATGCCGTTTGCGCTTGCTGGGTCCCGGGCCTGCGCTCTCTCTTGAATCCTTCTGCGGGCTGTTGATCATGCCACCCCACTGACACTGCTCTTGAGAGAAGATGGAGCTCTGTGTCTCCACTCTGCTCTGTAGACCAGCCCAGGCTGGCATCCAGGTGTCATCAAGTCCCAGGTAAGGATAGCAAGCATGGCTGTAAAGGGGGGGCGGGGCTTGGATAGCGTTTCATTATATCCTTTTGTTACCACCGGGAGCAGGCAGGATCTGCTCTGGCCAGGGCCAGTATCTGTGTGGAACTGGCATGTGCACCCCATCTGCGGGGGTTTCCCCCATACCCGGTTTCCTCGCACATCCCAGAGGTGTGCTGTTGGGTTCATTAGCATGTCTGCTCTGCCCCAGCAGGAGTGAGGGGGGTGTGTTGCATCCTGTGATGGAAGGATGCCCTGCCCAAGTTGGTTCCTGGCTTGCTCCCCTGAGCACCCCCCCCCCCCCGCTCCCCCCTCCAAGGCCCTGCCACCGGAGCCCCTGAGCTGGAATTGTGTTTTACATCAGAAGTGATTTGGGTCTTTATTTAGATGTCTGGTGATGCTTTAGGACTAGAAATATGACAGGTAGCCTCTAGTAAACTAGTAAAACTGGTTCCTTTAGACCCTATTCACATAGTGTCCATTTCCAAGGGCCTGTTAACAATGGTCAGTGAGGACCATTGTGTAGCATGCATGTTTGCACCTTGGCCGCTCCTCTCCCCTCTCTGGGTTCAAAAACTGTGTGCCCTGAGGTGCAGCCATCCCCCCCCATGCCTGCCCCCCCATATGGACAACTCCCCCAGCAGCATTTCTCATTGCTCTGCACTCCCTCCTTGAGGCATATGCTTTACTTGACTCCTAGTTCAGGTCTCTCCTTCTGGATCTCTTTTCCCAGGTCCTTAACTCTTACTGACCTGTAAATACTGTTGGCCCCAGGGCCCAGTCCTGAGATCTCTTCGCCACCTACAGTCTCCCTCTAGGTGATCTCATCCAGACCCTGAGTACGCATCCTTGATACAGATGTATCCTGACCGCTCCCACATTTATGTGTCCAACCTGGACTTCACTCTGTAGCACCCAAGTGCAGGGGCCATCACGTCCACCCTGTGCTGGGGCATGGTCCTGGGGGTAGGATGGGGAGGGACCCCTCTGCCCCGCTACTCTGCTCTGGCACTCGGCGATCCAGGGGTGGGAGGTGGGAGGCCAGACACAGCCAAACCAGGCCGAGCACATGCTCTACTATGGGCCAGATAGCAAGTATTTTAGGGTTTGTGGTTCAGGCAGACTTGGTCCCAACTACTCAATGCTACTTTCAAAGCGCAAGAGTCACCCCGGGGTACATCAGTGAAATAAGCGTATCTGTATTCCAGAACAGCTCTTTATTTACAGAAATTCAGATTTGGTCTGAAGGAAAAAGCTTGCCAACCCTGAGGTCGCCTCAAGCCTTGCCAGCTCCCAACTGCCCCCATCTTGCAGCCCTCATTTCCTGACAGGTTCAACGGAGAGCATTTCTCAGTCATTCCCTGACCCAAGAACCCACCTCAGACTGGTCCTGGGAAACCCAGCCCCAGACAGCGCTCTCTTCCATGTCCCAGGGCTCCCGCTGCCAGGTGGCCCTACCTGGTCTGTCTCCACCACATCAGATTGTCATCTCTTTGAGGTTCCTTGGCCTCTCTGGTCTCCCTTCCCTTATCAGGTACAGTCTAGTTCACCTTTTAATAACCGGGGCCGGGCACATGCAGTTGTCCCCACTACTAATGTGTGGTGCAGATGGCATCATCACATTACAGAACATGAGGCTGGAACTGAAAAATGTCAACATGCTCCTCATCGCATAGATGAGGTTCACTTTGAAAGCTTTCTGTCCTGCCTCTCCTTTTACCCACCACCAAATCTAGCAGTTTTCTCACCAAGGTTTCTTGGAGTTTCTTTCACCCCTCTCACAGCAATATGCCAGCATCCTGGCTCTCGAATGATCGTGATGAGCAAAGGCAGGAGACAGACACAATTGTCGGCTTTAAGTTGTTGTATTTATGTGTTTTTACAAGTGACTTTATAAGTTTACTGATAAAATTAGATTTGTATTACTCCCAGATTTATTCTAAAGTTAAATTCTACCTATTTTTTAACAAGTATGTAAATGTCACGAAATTCAAAAGGTAAAAAGGCTTTTATTGAAAAAGCCTTCCCTTCCATATATTTTCCACCCAGGTAATTTGCCTCCCAGAGGCAGTCGGTATCACTAGTCTCTTGTTTCCTGTGTAAGAGACTCTGGATGTGTGTGTGATATATGTGATACGCATCTATACGTATCTGTTAGTATGCATGTGCTGTATTTTCTTTG